ACCGTCATAAATATGAGTCAGTGGCCAAGGATCCGAATTTTGATCGTGGGATCACGGGGATACTACCACGGTCGTAAAGTGTGAAAAATGATCATAAGTGACTCTTGTTGGTGATGGTCACTAAATTAAAGGTCATAAATATGAGTCAGTCACTCAGTGTCTGACTTTTGATCAGATAATAATAAAGTTGGGAGGGACCTTGGAGGTCATCTAGTCCAACTCCTTGCTCAGGCAGGAAACCCTACCATTTTGGACAAATGGCTGTCCAGGCTCTTCTTAAAAGCTTCCAGTGTTGGAGCATTCACCGCTTCTAGAGGCAGGTAGTTCCGCTGGTTAATTGTTCTGACTGTCCGGAAGTTTCTCCTTAGTTCTAGGTTGCTTCTCTCCTTGATGAGTTTCCATCCATGGCTTCTTGTCCTGCCTTCAGGCGCCTTGAAAAATAGCTTGACTGCCTCTTCTTTGGAGCAGCCCCTGAGATACTGGAACACTGCTATCATGTCCCCCCTCATCCTTCTCTTCGTTAAATTAGACATACCCAATTCCAGCAGCTGTTCCTTGTATGTTTTAGCCTCCAGTCCCCTGATCATCTTTGTTGCTCTTCTCTGTACTCTTTCTGGAGTCTCAACATCTTTTTTACATCGTGGTGACCAAAACTGGATGCAGCATTTCAAGTGTGGCCTTACCAAGGCCTTGTAAAGTGGTATTAACACTTCACCTGATCTTGATTCTCTCCCTCTGTTAATGCAGCCCAGCACTGTGTTGGCTTTTTGGGCAGCTGCAGCACACGGCTGGCTCCTATTTAGGTGATTGTCCACTAGGACTCTGAGATCCCTCTCACTATTAACTCCTGTTGAGCCAGGTGCCACCTATCTGGTGAACACAGGGATGCTGTAGCGGTCATAAGTCATAAGTGCTGTTCTAACTTCAAACTGGTCACTTAAACGGACTGTTGTAAGCTGCACACACAAAGCCTGCCATCTTCTCTGTCTCCAAGGCAGCGTTTTCTCAGACCTGGGCCCCTTAAAGCTGGATTTGTGGACTTCAACTCCCAGAAATCCATGCTGCCTGGGGGAATTCTGGGAATTGAATTCCATCCCTCTTAAGGGCCAGGGTTGAAACAGCAGAAACGGGCCAGCAGAATAACCGGTTTTGCATTGAAGGAGACAGCAGGGGGCGCTGTTCCCTCCCAGCTACTATTTCCGTGCCTTGAGTTGGAATAGTATGTTTGGCTAGAATTGGGTAGAAATCTGAATTTTTTTGGATGCTGGTTCGCTTTTTGGACTCTATACCAATGTTTTGATGGATGGACAGACGGACGGAAGGACAGACAGGCCCTGCTTTTCCCTCCTGACCTCCCAGGACGTGTCGTGTCCACCTCTTTGCAAGCAAGAGCACTCAAAGAATTTGAACTCCTTTTATTTTGAAACAAATGGTCCAGTAACAAGATATGAAATCCTTTCCCTTTTTTTTAATCCACACCCCCACACCCCCGGAAATGCAAAAGGGGCTATAGGGAAAGCAACCCCTGAAAGCTATAGTAACAATCCTACAAGTTAAGGCTAGTCAAATCTCACTTTTCTTGCGCCACTAGCCTTCCAGACTGCGCAGGGGGCAGTGAGAGTGACAGAACGAGAAAGAGAGAGAGAAAAAAAGAGAAAGAGGGAGAGGGAGGGAAAGAAAAAGAAAGAGAGAGAAAGAGGGAGAGAGAGAGAAAGAAAGAGGGAGAGAAAGAGTGGGAGAGAGAGAAAAAGAGGGGAAAAAAGGGAAAGAGAGGGAGAAAAGAGAAAGGGAGAGAAAGAGAGAGGGAAGAGAGAAGGAGAAGGAGAGAGACAGAAAAAGAGAAAGAGGGAGAGAAAGAGAGAGAAAAAGAGAAAGGGAGAGAAAGAGAAAGGGAGAGAAAGAGGGAGAAAAAGAGGAGAAAGAGGGAAAGAGAGAAAGGGAAAGAGAAAGAGAGGGAGAGAGAAAAAGAGGGAAAAAGAAAGGGAAAGAGAAAGGGAGAAAAAGAGAGAGGAAAAAAGAGAGAAAGGGAGAGAAACAGAAAAAGAAAGAGGGAGAGAGAGGGAGAAAGAGAGAGAAAGAGGGAGACAGAGAGAGAAAGGAGAGGGAGAAAAAGAGGGAAAGAGAGAAAGAGGGAAAGAGAGAGAGAGAAAGGAAGTCCCATGGAAAGCATCACCCCCACATCTGCTGATAGACACCCTGAGTTAAGGGCTCTCCCACCAGGCCAAGAAGGAAGAAGGAAGAAAGTGGAAAAGTCGTCTTGGTTGCCCCCAGCTGCCTTTCCAAGATAGATTTAAGGGAATGACAGAAGCTGAGGAGGGGGGGTATCAAAAGAGGCATCAGCCTAGAATCCTGACATAGCCACAAACTAAGTCCAACTTCCCTTGAATTCTCTTGACTCTAATCCAGCAGGTGCTGGCCGTGAGCTGAGCAGGCCCTCCGGGCATAGGCTTTTAGCGCTTCATCGGTTCCATTGAACTGTCATCTGCACACCTGGCCTTTCTCACCTGGATTGGCCCAAGATGGTCTGACTGGGAAGTTCTCCCCCTCCCCTTGTTCTCTAGCAGCTCATCCCAAAATAATTCAGCTGAACCCCCCCTCCTCCCTCCTGAGCTCAATATTATTGGGAGGAAGAGGAGCACAGCAGAGAGGGCGGCCTTGCCCAGCTGCAACCAGTTTAAGGGTGGCAAGGTGGCTCGGTTCTCAGACTTGACCCACCTGGCAAGCCAGACAGACCGATGGCACGTTCTGCTCGGTCGAACCGTCAGAACGTTGTGCCTTCTGCCAGTTGGCCAGGAGCCCGGAGACCTCAGGGATCCTCAACGAAGCAATGCGACGGAGATGTCCTCTACACCAGGGCTTTTCAACCAGGGGTACGGGTACCACCTGTGGTCCATTGGCACCTGGCAGGCGGTACGCGACCATTCTAGAAAAGGGGTAGCAGGGGAGGGAATGAGCTGAACCGGGGGCAGCACCGCACAAGCCTGAGCAAGAGACGGCTGGAGCTGCAGGGCTGTCGGGGCTCAGCGGAAGCGCCAGGATCAGTGCTGCTTTCCAGCTGATCGGCGCTTCTTCGGGGCTGTCGGGGCTGAGCGGAAGCACCAGGATCAGCACCAGGCTCCAGCTGGAGCTTGGTGCTGATCCTGGTGCTTCTGCTGAGCCCAGAAGAAGCACCAATCAGCTGGAATGTTGCAGCCTCTCCAGGGTCTTGTGATTTACATTCAGATGCTTGGCAACCGATTCCTATTTATGACGGTCACAGTGTCCCAGGGTCATGTGAAGTGACCAAAACCTGCTGCGACCACCCAGCAGAGGGGGGGGGAATAAAAACCAAACACCCCCCCTACCCCATCCCCGCTGCCAATCCTCAACAGGAATGCTCACAACAATGAAAACCTCGGACAGGAGGAAGAGTGCGGCTGGATGGGCAGTCAGGTGTCTTGCTCGGCTGTGGCTGGGGGGGGGGCACTTTTTTCAGTGCCATTGTAACTTCGAACAGTCACTAAGCGAACTGTTGTAAGTCGAGGACTACCTGTACTTTATCACTTTTTTCCTTTTTTGGGGGGTCATCAAATTTTTGACCCCTTGCTAGGTGACTGGTGGTACTCGGATGTTGCCCTATCCTAAAAGTGGTACAATGGGTGACAAGGTTGAAAAGCCCTGCTCTACACAACAGGGATCCCCAACCCCTGGTCCGTGGACTGGTACTGGGCCAGCAACCGGTCCACACAAACAAGCAAAGCCCCATCCGCAGGATGCAGGCAGGACGCAAAACCACACACCTTCCGGTGTGCAGAAAAACCTTTCCGGTCCCTGATGCCCAAAAGGTTGGGGGACTTCTGTTCTACAAGCAGGGGGTCTCCCACCTGGGCTGGCTGAGGGATTCTGGGAGTTGAAGTCCACCAGTCATAAAGTTGCCAACGTTGGAGACCCCTGTTGTACATTACAGGGTGGGCTATCCTTCCTATCTATCCTATCTCCCTATCTACACAAGGACACTGGCTTCTTGGGGGTCCCAGCATCCTTCACCCTGGGCTGGAGCTGAGACCGGCAGGGTCAAAGCAGAGGGCTGATGTCCCCCCCCCAAAGTGGCAGAAGACCCCCCTCCAAGTGAAGGTGAACCCACCCAGGCCAAACTCCCAGCAGCTCCAGAAGGCAGCCAGATGTTTGCAGAGGAGCCACGGGAAAAGATGGGAACCCCAAACCAGGGTGTCCACCTTCCCCTTCCATCAGCAAGTAACTACTCCATGCCTGCCTTTGCACAGGTGGTCCTCGACTTACGACCGCCACCGAGCCCAAGTTCACTGCCGCTAAGGGCGACATTTGTTAAGCGAACCGAAGGAACTTTCCCACAGTTCTTCACTGAATCACTGCCGTCGTTAAATTAGTCACACACGGTCGTTAAGCGAATCTGGCTTCCCCCACTGACTTTACTGGCCAGGAGGCCGCAAAAAGAGGTCAGGGGACCCCCCCCCCGGGGACACTGCGACCGTCGTAAATGTGAGTCAGTCGATAAGAGTCTGAATTCAATAAGGAGCTGGATTATCTTGTTACTTCTGTCCAAGTATTTGTCCAAGCTGTATGTTCTAGGCCAGTGGTTCTCAACCTTTTTAATGCCGCGACCCCCAACCGGTCGTAAGTCGAGGACCACTCAACCGGTTGTAAGTCGAGGACTACTCAACTGGTGCAGCACCGTTTGCAGAATGGGACTTTTGGCGGGCTCAGCAGGGCAGAGACAGCCTGGACAATTCCTATTGGCTTTTGAAAGCCAATAGAATTAGACTCTATTCAAGAGAGTCTATTCTATTGGCTTTCAAAAGCCAATAGAATAAAAGGGAGGAGCACAGCTAAGGAAAAGGGGGGAAAAATGGCGGACTGCGTTGTTTGGCGACCCCCGTGAAATGGTCGTTCGACCCCAAATGGGGTCCCGACCCACAGGTTGAGAACCACTGCTCTAGACCAGGAGTGTCCAACTTGGATGACTTTAAGACTTGTGGACTTCAACTCCCAGAATTCCCCATTCTGGGAGTTGAAGTCCACAAGTCTTAAAAGTCACCCAAGTTGGACACCCCGGGTCGATACATAAACACATGACCTATGGGGATGCTCTAACGGTCATAAGTATGAAAAACGGTCCTAATTCACTTTCTTCCCAGTGCCGTTGTAACTGTGAACCGTCACTGAGCGAACCGCTGTAAGTTGGGGACTACCTGTAAAGTGACAAAGCAAGTGGACCACGCTGGGGTGGAAGACATGGCCACAGTCTGCAATGACCCTGCCCAGCACCCAGTACTGTTTCCACGAGACTGGGGTGTGTGTGTGTCCAGAAATGGCGGTTAGGGGTGGTGGTCTTGCAGGGGGGGGATGTGCACAAAAGGCAGGCAGATCATCCCAGGGGGGGAATCCCCTTGTGGGTACCCCCACCTTGCTGGGGGAGGGGGGCTCTGCCTGGTCATGCCAGCCGTGCCCCCCTTGGTGAAGGCTTTGCAAGGGAGCCCCCCCCAACCCCTCCAAGCAGCAGCAGACCCCTTCATGGGAAGAAGCCCCCCTTTTTCCTCCGGATTATCTGCCGCTCTGCCAAGCTCAGGGAGGGGGGGGGTCTCACAGAAGGACCCCCGCCTCTGTTTTCCATCAGTGCAAGTTAAAGGAACGGGGCAGTTGCAGCAAAAGCCCCCACCAGGAAAGAAAAAAAAAATGCCGCAGGGCGAGGGGAGGCCTGGCCTGGGGGGGTAGCAAAGGGGGGGGGCTACCAACATGACGGGGTGCCTTTGCTCGCTGCGCCCCCCCCCCCACCACGAGCTGACCTCCAGAGACTGGTCGTAAACGAGGGCCACCCGCCCTTCCTCGTTAGTTACACTGACCAGAAGAAGCCCAGGTGGGGGGGTGCTGGGTGAGAGGGTGGGGGGCACGGTTCCCCCCCCTCCTGCCCCTCCGGCCGGCGGGCCCTCAGTTGACGCTGTCCTCGTCGCTGCCTTCGGCCCGGGGCTCCTCCTTGCCCTCGGCCAGGCTGCTCTCGTCAATGTTTTCCAGGGAGTCGGCGTGCTGGATGGAGAGGTCGGAGAGGGCCAGGCTGGCCAGGGGGTTCTGCTCCGGGTAGAGCCAGGGCTTGAAGTGGGGGCCGTGCTTCTGCTTCCAGTCGGGGTACTTGAGGCAGGCCTTGTACATCTTCTTCATGGCCTGCGGGGGGGGGGGGAGGGGGGAGGAAGAGGAGGAGGAGGAGAAAAACAGTTAGCTGGGAGGGAGGGAGGAGAAGGAGGAGAAGGAGGGAGGAGGGGGAGGAGGGAGGGAGGAGGAGGAAGAAGAAGGGAGGAGGAAAGGAGAAAGATGGGAGGAGGAGGAAGGAAGAAAGGAGGGGGAAAGGAGAAGGAGGAAGAAGGAAGGGGGAAAGAAGGAAGGATGGGAGGAAGAGGAAGGAAGCAGGGAGCAGGAAGAAGGGAGGGGGAAAGGAGGAAGGAGGGTGGAGGAGGTGGCAGGAAGATGGGAGGAGGAGGAAGGAAGTAGGGAGGAGGAAAGGAAGGAGAAGAAGGAAGATGGGAGGAGGAAGAAGGGAGGGGGAAAGAAGGAAGGAAGATGGGAGGAGGAGGGAGGGAGGAGGGGAGGGGGAAAGGAGGAAGGAGGAAGGAGGAGGAGGAAGGAAGAAGGAAGAAGGGAGGGGGAAAGGAGGAGGAGGAGGAGGTAGAAGGAAGGAAAATGGGAGGAGGAGGAATGAAGAAGGGAGGAGGAAGAAGGGAGGGGGAAAGGAGAAGGAGGAGGAGGAAGAAGGGAGGGGGAAAGAAGGAAGATGGGAGGAGGAAAGGAAGGAAGAGGAGGAGGAAGGAAGGAAGATGGGAGGAGGAGGAAGGAAGCAGGGAGGAGGAGGAGGAAGGAAGAAGGGAGGAGGAAGAAGGGAGGGGGAAAGGAGGAGGAGGAGGAGGAGTTTTCAATATCAATGATAGACTACAAAAAACACAGCGCTTGATGCAGGACCAACCAAGAGGCCCCCTCCGGGAGACGCCCACCTTTCCAGCCCTGGACCACCTCCCAGGAGCCCCCTGATCGATACCAGAGCAGCCCACAGACCCCCCAAAGAAGCTCCGGGGGAGCTGGGGGGGGGGCTGCTGGGCCGAAGAAGCCTCTGGCATTGGCCAGGAAGCTCTTGGGGGGCTCCCACGCCTGCATTCTGCATGTCGCCTCCTTCTGCATCCCAGTGGGCAGCAGCATCCGAACCTCCCCAAGAGCCCCCACCCCCATGAGCAGACCCCCACACTGCCCGGGCCCCCTCCCCACCAGCTCTGGACCCCTGACCAGGAGCAGAGCCCCCCCCCTCTGGGTGGGTCTCCCCGAGATTCAAACTCCAGGGGCCTCGACGCTTGGAGTCGGCCCGGCTGCCTCGCAGACCCCATTCCTGGCCCAAAGAGATCTTAAACCCTCTTTGTCACCGGAGACACACAACAACAGACCGGCTTTGTGGGGGAACACAAAGCCACCCTGGAAACATAAGTCCTTTTCCGTCTCTGGAAAGCCGATAGGCTTCAAGCCAGACAATAAAGGGATCCTCCTTCTTTGTGTGTTTCTCCTGCCAGTTGTTGGGTTTTTTTTTTTCCCTTGTCTTTTCATTAGCTCTGTGTGTGTGTGTGTGTGTGTATACAGTTGCATCTGCTGACGTGGTTGTTTTCCCGTGGCCATTGTGAGTATTTCATGCCATCTCTCAGCAACCAGGAGGGCCATTGGTCAAGGGAGGGGAAAGGAACCGGATCAGACCCGGGGAAGCAAAAGGGTTTTTTTCCCTTTGGGGACAAAAGAAGCACCTTTGGAACAACCTGACGGGTGACGGAGCTGACCCAGGAGCGCCAATCCGGACAAGTGCCCCTGCTGACCTCTGCCAGTCTTGATCCTGGAGGCACAACGCCTCTCACAACACACAAATTGCAACCCACCCTTTGGTTCAGAATGGCCTGGCTCTCTTATTTGTTTATCTTGTTTAATCAAGGAGAGAAGCAACCTGGAACGAAGGAGAAACTTCCTGACAGTGAGAACAATTAACCAGTGGAACCACCTGCTTCCAGAAGAGGTCAATGCTCCAACACTGGGAGTTTTTAAGAAGAGACTGGACTGGTCTGAAATGGTTTGAAATGGTCTGAAATGCTATAGGGTTTCCTGCCTGAGCAAGGGGTTGGACTAGATGACCTCCAAGGTCCCTTCCAACTGTTATTCTACCTGCCTGCCTGCCTTTATTCCTCCCTCCCTTCTCCAACACTGGAACTTTTTAAGAAGAGACTGGACAGCCATTTGTCTGAAATGGAATAGGGTTTCCTGCCTGAGCAGGGGGTTGGACTAGATGACCTCCAAGATCCCTTCCAATTTATTACTACTACTACTGTTGTTGTTGTTGTTGTTGTTATATTATTTCCTTTTCAGAGCCATTTAACAGAACAGAATAACAGAGTCAGAAGGGACCTTGGAGGTCATCTAGTCCAACTCCTCACTCAGGCAGGAAACCCTAGACCATTTCAGACCAATGGCTGTCCAGTCTCTTCTTAAAAACTTCCAGTATTGGAGCATTCACCGCTTCTGGAGGCAGGTGGTTCCACTGGTTAATTGTTCTCACTGTCAGGAAGTTTCTCCTTAGTTCCAGGTTGCTTCTCTCCTTGATGAGTTTCCATCCGTTGCTTCTTGTCCTGCCTTCAGGCACTTTGGAGAAGAGCTTGACTCCCTCTTCTTTGGGGCAGTCCCTGAGATACTGGAAGGCTGCTATCCTGTCCCCCCTCGTCCTTCTCTTCATTAAACTAGACATACCCAATTCCAGCAACCGTTCCTTATAAGCTTTAGCCTCCAGTCCCCTGATCATCTTCGTTGCTCTTCTCTGCCCTCTTTCTAGAGTCTCAACATCTTATATAAATATATTTAAATTCCATCACCCCCGTTTCAAGATCAAAGCAGCCTTTCAGCCGTTCATCCGCTCTTTATTCCATGTGCTTTATTCCACGTGCCCGGCGTCAATAATTCATGTCCATTTCAACACCACTTTTCAACTTTCCATAAAAGGGAATCGATAACATCAGTCAGAATCTTGATGGACTCCTCCCAAACCTCTGACCTCTTGGGTTTTTTTTTCCCCAGAAGCAGCCTTCCCTAATAGTCTCCTAAGAAGCAAGCCCACCAAGAATCACACGGAGATAAAACAAAAATAGATTTTCCACGATCTATTTATGATCCAAAGAGCCGCTTAAATGCGAGGGTGGAAAAATGTAGCAGTGCTTTTCAAAGTTTAAATCTGAAGCCTCTGAAGCCCCAGTGTATCTTCAATTCACCATTTCATCCCATAAACCAACAAGAATAATCCCTTTTTTCCCCCTCTGTTAAGCATTTTCTTAAGCAAGCCAGGCAGGCCAAGGCTTCCTTCCTTCCTTCCTTCCTTCCTTCCTTCCTTCCTTCCTTCCTTCCTTCCTTCCTTCCTTCCTTCCTTCTTCTCCTCCCCCCCCCCTTCTAGCACTGATGATGTTCCCTAGTTGGGTCATGAAATGTCTGCAAGAAAACCACCCAGCTCAGAGAACACCAAGGACCCCACAATCCTTCCTTCCTTCCTTCCTTCCTTCCTTCCTTCCTTCCTTCCTTCCTTCCTTCCTTCCTTCCTCCCTCCCTCCCTCCCTTCTCTTCCTCTTCCTCCTCCCTTCCAGCACTGATGCCGTTCCCTAGTTGGGTCATGAAATGTCTGCAAGAAAAAAATCAAACTCAGAGAGCACCTCACAGTCTGTCCTTTCTTCCTTCCTTCCTTCCTTCCTTCCTTCCTTCCTTCCTTCCTTCCTTCCTTCCTTCCTTCCTTCCTCCCTCCCTCCCTCCCTTCCTTCCTCTTCTTCCTCCTCCCTTCCAGCACTAATGATGTTCCCTAGTTGGGCCATGAAACATCTGCAAGAAAACAACCAAGGACCCCAGAGAGCACCAAAGACCCCACAATTCAACCCTGTGCTACAAATATTATTATTTTAATTTTCCCGGAGAACTCCTAATAGTGAATGGATTTGATGCAGAATAAGCCGTGGATGAAGACAGTTCACCTTATAATTTAGTTTATAGTTTAGTTTATAGTTTAGTTTATAGTTTAATTTATAGTTTAATTTAGTTTATAGTTTAGTAACTATAAATACCTTCTTATCCAAGGTCTTCTTAAAGGATTTTTTTGCCCAGGCACATCTCCCGCCTATTCCCAAAGGTGCTTTTTCCAAAAGGCAATTAAGCTTTCTTGTTTTATTATTATTTTTCCCTTGAAAACCTCACCCGAGCGGCTTCTGGGATGAGAAGCGAAACGTTTTCAAAGGAGAAAAAAAACCAAGAACATCCAGCTGCCCCTTTGGGACAGCCCTGGTGTGGGTGGCTGAGGACCTCCGGAGACTTATTCCCACCTATTCCCAGCAATGGGCCGGGGGCCTCCCTGAGACCAGGTGAGACCAGGTGTAGCTGCAGAAAGGAGAGAGAAATTGGTCCCAGCTTACCTTGGGCGCCAGAAACTGAGAGGACTTATTCACCACCCACTTGGGCAACGAGCCTGCAGAGAGGAAAATCGAAATATGGATCAGAGAAGGGCCTTTGCCACGCCGTTCCAAAGGACGCGCAAAACGGACACACACGCCGGAGAACTTTGTGCAGGTGCAGCCAACACCCCCCCCCACATACCTTGCAACACCTGAGACCGCCCACTCAGAATCCAAAGCTGGGAGGAGAGCCCATCCCAGCTTGTGACATACAGGGAGTGCTCCACTTAACAACCGTTTGTTTAGTGACCATTCAAAGTTACAACAGCACTGAAAAAAAGGGACTTAGGATCTTTTTTTCCCACACTTAGGACTGTTGCAGCAGCCCCACGGTCACGTGATCAAAATTTGGAGGCTTGGCGATTGGAATAATAATAATAATAATAATAATAGTAATAATAATAATAGTTGGAAGGGACCTTGGAGGTTTATTTATTTATGGGATTTGAAAGCCCTCCGTGGGTTTGAGAAAGGCAGACGGAATGAATTCCAGGAATGAATCCATGACGCTGGCATCAACTGGTGGCTTTCAGGTAAGTCCCCAACTTACAGCTGTTCATTTAGTGACTGTTCAAAATTACAATGGCCCTGTCAAAAAGGTGACTTAGGACCCAGTTTTCACACTCTAAACTAAACTGAACTGAACTGAACTGAACTAAACTGAACTGAACTATAAACTAAATTAAACTATAAACTAAATTATAAACTAAACTATAAACTAAACTATACTGAACTATAAACTAAACTGAACTATAAACTAAACTAAACTGAACTAAACTAAACTGTAAACTAAACTAAAGTATAAACTAAACTGAACTATAAACTAAACTAAACTGAACTAAACTAAACTGTAAACTAAACTAAAGTATAAACTAAACTGAACTATAAACTAAACTAAACTGAACTAAACTAAACTGTAAACTAAACTAAAGTATAAACTAAACTGAACTATAAACTAAACTAAACTGAACTAAACTATAAACTAAACTAAACTATAAACGAAACTATTCCGAACTATAAACTAAACTGAACTATAAACTAAACTAAACTATAAACTAAACTGAACTATAAACTAAACTAAACTGAACTAAACTAAACTATAAACTAAATTATAAACTAAACTATAAACTGAACTAAACTATAAACTAAACTGAACTATAAACTAAACTATAAACTAAATTATAAACTAAACTATACTATAAACTAAACTATAAACTAAACTATAAACTGAACTAAACTGAACTAAACTATAAACTAAATTATAAACTAAACTATAAACTAAACTAAACTATAAATTAGATTAAACTGAACTATAAACTAAACTATAAACTAAATTATAAACTAAACTAATCTATAAACTAAACTATAAATTAAACAAAACGAAACGACTGAACTAAACCAAACTACAGCTAGTCCTCAACTTAACAACCATCCATTTAGTGGGACACCGCAACCGTCACAACTGTGAGGAACTTGCCAAGCGTCTGAATTTTGATCACAGGGACGCTGCCCGACGGTCGTAAATGTGAAAAATGGTCCTAACTCACTCGTTCCAATGCCACTGTCATTTTGAACGGCCACTAAGCGAACAATTGCCAATGGGGGGCCGCCCGTACAAATATTTGCAACTCCGGCTCACCTTTGGGGTCTACCTGGGCTAGGTAGGTGAGGCTGCAGTTCTTGGCTCCTTTCCCCTGGATCAGGTAGCCCGTTTGGATAGAGACAGCCCTGACCATGTCCTTCCGCGGGGGGTATTTCTGGAAAGAAGGAAGCGGGAAGGTTGAACGCACACACGCCCGCCAAGTCCGGAACTGGCCCTAGCAGGATCTGTGCATTTATTTCCATCAGACTAGAGCTGGAAGGGACTTTGGAGGTCGTCTAGTCCAACCCCCTGCTCAAGGAGAAGACCCTATACGACTTCGGACAAAGGACTGTCCAGTCTCTTCTAAAAAGCCTCCAGTGATGGAGCATTCACAACTTCCGGTGGCAAGCTGTTCCACTGGCTAATTGTTCTCACTGTCGAGAAAATTCTCCTTCAGTCCAGGTTGATTAGTTTTTATCTGTTGCTAGATTCTTTTTTTAATCTGTTGCTTGATTTTTAGGCGTGCGCCTTGTCCCACAACTAGGGCTTATTTTGGGGATAGGGTTTACCTTCCTGGGAAGCAGGAAGCGGACCCTCCTGAGGGGCTTCCCCCCCACCCAAATTCCTTCAACGGGCCGAGATCTCCCTTGCTTGCTTTGGCTGCAGCTCATCCTTCTGTCTCCCAAGGCAGAGCACCGGTTGCGGCTACACAACCATCTTGATCTTTCGGACCCTCTCAGACTGCCCAGAAAATGCCCTGCTTCCCCCCCCAGCCCCCCCAAAAGTCCTGTTACCTACAGGGTGTTTGACCGAGTAGTTCATGATGATGTAGTCACTGTCCATTGGCAGCCAGGAACGCAGCGTGATGACGTCCCGGTTCTTGAGGGGTTTCGGGCACTTCCCTGGCAGAGAGGGGAGAAGGGGACTCAAATGAGTCTGGGGCAGTGGTTCTCAACCTTTTTAATGCCGCGACCCCCAACCGGTCGTAAGTCGAGGACTACTCAACCGGTCGTAAGTCGAGGACTACTCAACAGGTGCAGCCCCGTTTGCAGACTGGGGCTTTTGGCGGGCTCAGCAGGGCAGAGACAGCCTGGACCATTCCTATTGGCTTTGGAAAGCCAATAGAATTAGACTCTATTCAAGAGAGTCTCTTCTATTGGCTTTCCAAAGCCAATAGAATAAAAGGGAGGAGCACAGCTAAGGAAAAGGGGGAAAAAATGGCGGACTGCGTTGTTTGGCGACCCCCGTGAAATGGTCGTTCGACCCCAAATGGGGTCCTGACCCACAGGGTGAGAACCGCTGGTCTGGGGGATGGAAACAGCTGGACAGCCTTAACAGAGAATACTTGCTCCAGATGGGGAGGCCCCTCCGGGTGGTCCAATGTCCAGGTGGGATTTTCATGACTCCACCAGCTGGGACACAATAGGAAGGAGGGGCCTGGGGATCTGGGACTATAGAGGTCATAAATGGTCCTGGTCGATTGAGCGAGCTTCATTCCTGCACCTTCCAAGAATTTAGCCTAGCCTAAATAGAGAAACACCCGAGCTGATTTCTACACTGGGGTCCTTGGCGCTCTCCGAGCAGGGTGGCTTTCTTGCAGATGTCCCACTAGGGAACATCACCGGTGCTGGGAGGGAGGGAGGAGGCGGGAGGAGAGGGGGGAGAGGCAGAGGGAGAAAGAGGAGGACTGTGGGGTCCTTGGTGCCCTCTGAGCTGGGTGGTTTTCTTGCAGACGTTTCATGATCCAACTAGGGAACGTCATCAGTGCTAGAAGGGAGGAGAAGAAAGAAAGAAAGAAAGAAAGAAAGAAAGAAAGAAAGAAAGAAAGAAAGAAAGAAAGAAAGAAAGAAGGAAGGAAGGAAGGAAGGAAGGAAGGAAGGAAGGAAGGAAGGAAGGAAGGAAGGACAGACTGTGGGGTCCTTGGTGCTCTCTGAGCTGGGTGGTTTTCTTGCAGACGTTTCATTACCAAACTAGGAAACATCATCAGTGCTAGGAGCGGTGGGTGGGTTGTCCTCCTCCTCCTCCCCCTCCTCTTCCTTCTCCCCCTCCCTTCTAGCACTGATGATGTCCCCTAGCTGGATCACGAAACATCTGCAAGAAAACCACCCAACTCAGAGAGCACCAAGGACCCCACAGTACTCCTCCTCCTCCTCCTCCTCCTCCTCCTCCTCCTCCTCCTCCTCCTTCTCCCCCTCCCTTCTAGCACTGATGATGTTCCCTAGCTGGGTCACGAAACGTCTACCAAAGACGACCTGTGTTTGATTCCAAAGCTGGCAGCTCTGAACATCAAACGCCAAAGCACGAGTGGGCACCCCGGGGCAAATCCCCACCGCTCGGGCTCCCTCTGGGGGTGCCCTCCGGCCCCTCCTCCGCTCCGTCCACCACCCTTTCTCACAGGCGTAGTATCCCACGTCTGCGTTGACGGTCAGCTTGCCGATGTCAAAGGTCTCGATGACGTTCGTGTCCCACTTTTTCCGGTACTCGATGTCATGCAGCACGTCGTACAGAATTTCCGCAGAGATATCTTTGCAATCCATCCTGCACTGGAGAGAAACCGGAAATCAGAAGGCCGGTTTAGAAATATTGCTCAGTACTTCTTTTATCTAGCTCTGGGGTCTTCGAACTTGGCCCTTTGATGACTTGTGGACTTCAACTCCCAGAATTCCTCAGCCAGGCACGCTGGCTGCGGAATTCTGGGAGTTGAAGTCCACAAGTCATGAAGGGGCCATAGTTCCCCCATGCTGGCTGAGGAATTCTGGGAGTTGAAGTCCACCAGTCATCAAAGGGCCAAGTTGGAAGACCCTCTGGACTTCAACTCCCAGAATTCCTCAGCTAGGCACGCTGGCTAAGGAATTCTGGGAGTTGAAGTCCACAAGTCATCAAAGGGCCAAGTTGGAAGACCCCCGGACTTCAACTCCCAGAATTCCTCAGCTAGGCACGCTGGCTGAGGAATTCTGGGAGTTGAAGTCCACAAGTCATCAAAGGGCCATGTTTGAAGGCCCCTGTGTTAAGGCATCCAAGAAGACTAGAGTCTAATCCCAGTCTAATGTTGCTTTCTCCTGATTGGGGCCTCCAAATACATCCAAACCCACAACTCCTGAACATCATGGGCAGTTCTGGCCGGGAATTATGGGAGTTATCACCACCACTCCTGCGAAGAAGGTCTTAGGCCGAACCTTATGCTTGGGATTAGTGTAGGCCCTGTTTACTTTGGCCATTTCCAGGGGTGGGGACTTCAACTCCCAGAATTCTCCTCCATGGCCACAGTTGCTGAGGGATTCTGGGAGTTGAAGTCCACAAGTCATCAAAGGGCCAAGTTGGAAGACCCCTGGACTTCAACTCCCAGAATTCCTCAGCCAGGCACGCTGGCTGAGGAATTCTGGGAGTTGAAGTCCACAAGTCATAAAAATCATAAAAGTTTGAAGACCGCTGGCGTAATGGATCTCCTCTTCAAAGTAGACCAGGACCTGACAACCCCAGGGTACAAGTAATCCTCAACTTACGATCACAACGGAGCCCAAAATTTCCGTTGCTAAGTGAGACATTAGTTTTGTCTCGTTTTACGACCTGTCTTGCCACAGCTGTTAAGTGAATCCCTTAACAAGTTGTTAAGCTAGCAACGTGGTTCTTAAGCAGGAGGTGTGAGCTTCAAGGGATTCCAGAAGATGGTAGAGGACAGGAAGGCCTGGAGGAACGTTGTCCATGGGGATCGCGATGGGTCCGACACAACTTTGCAACTAACAACAACGACAACAACAAGCTTCCCCCTTGAATGTGCTTGAAGGTCACAATAGGGGATTACATGACCCCGGGACGTTGCGACCGTCGTAAATACAAGTCAGTTGCCAAGCGGCTGGATTTTGATCACATGACCCCGGGACGTTGCGACCGTCGTAAATACAAGTCAGTTGCCAAGTGGCTGGATTTTGACCCAGGAGTCTGGGGACGCCGCAACAGTTATAAGTGTGAAAAACGGTCACAAATCATTTCTTTCAATGCCCTTGTAACTGCGAGTGGTCACTAAACAAAGCGTTGTAAGTCGGGGACTTCTTGTGCTGCCCCAAGGCCCCTTATTCCGAATCGAGAACGGAAAAATTCTGCCCTTTTGATCGGGCCCATGGGTCAAGCATCCCCTTTCTAAAGAAATCTCCTCTTTCACCAAAGACGGGTGGCCAAACAATTAGCATTCCCCATGGGCCATTAAGCTAATGACTCATTAAAATAATGAAAGGGAAGCTGTGTCCCATAATGGGCTCCCTTCAAAGAGGCCATTTGACGGAAAGGAAAGCTGATATGCAAATTGGGAGAGGCTTCTTGTGTTAAAAATACTTTAGGACGATAAGCATCCTTCATAGTTTATCGATTTATTTCTTCATTCATGTAGAAACTGCGCTTCCCTCTTGGAAGGACTCTAGCCAGGCTGGCAGCCAGGCAGAAAACCATCAAAACTCTATATAAATATTAGAAGGCAGTTACAAACAAGAATAAAGTGATAGGATCTTAGTAATAGTAAAATAATAGCGTTATTCGTTCTTCCCCTTGTGGGGCAACCTCTGTCTAGACCAGGGATCTACAACCTTGACCACTTTAAGACTTGTGGACTTGACTATGCTGGCTGAGGAATTCTGGGAGTTGAAGTCCACAAGTCTTAAAGTGGTCAAGGTTGCAGATCCCTGGCCCCATTGAATTCAGTGGAGTTTACCGCTAGATCAGGGTCTTCAGACTTGGCCCTTTCATGACTTGTGGACTTCAACTCCCAGAATTCCTCAGCCAGCTATGCTGGCTGGGTAATTCTGGGAGTTAAAGTCCACAAGTCATAAAAGGAGCCATGTTTGAAGACTCCTGAGCTAGATAAAAAAAAATATTGAGCAATGTTTCTAAACCTCAACAACTTGAAGACAGGCGGATTTCAACTCCCAGAATCCCCCAGCCCATAATCCCCCCCAGCTCAGAATTCCCTTCCCCCCATGGCTGGCTGGGGAATTCTGGGAGTTGAAGTCCACCTGTCTTCAAGTTGTTGAGGTGGAGACACACTGATTTAGACTCTTCTTTGGCTCTTGAAATCTGCACAGCTTCTTCTTCTAGCATTATCCAAAGCTCCAGTACATACGTGTGTGTGTGTGTGTTTGTGTGTGTGTGTGTTTGTGCGTGTGGGCAAGGCGCGCACAGGTCCCTGGTGCCACGGGCAGACTGTCACGTGCCCGGCCTGCTTTCCCAGCCAAAGTGGGCCTCGGGAATCCGTTTCCAAGCTCGCTCATTATTAATCAAGTTATAATTTTCGCCGGCTGGCAAGCTGAGCCGCTAAATATTTCATTAGCCCCGGTGAAATCACTGGTGGCCAGCCCACAAGCGCCTTGTTGAACAAAAGAACCGGGGTGTCTGCCCCACACAAAGGTCCGGACCCTGAAACCTGAGCCCCCCGCCAGCCTGTGTGTGGAGCATCAGGTGGGGAAGAAAGACAAAAAAAGTCTTTTGTCCATGTCCACATTGCATAACTGCGCACCCGGGGCCGGTTGCAAAGGCTGATTTTTCCACCCTGGCTCCAGAAGGTGGATGACACCGAAGAGGGCTATTTGAGTATTTGGGGGGGGGGACCACCTCTTCTCCAATTCCCCTGAAGGCAGGACAAGAAGCAAGGGATGGGAACTAACCGAGGAGAGAAGCAAGCTGGAATTAAGGCGGAATTTCCTAAAAGTGAGGACAATTAACCAGTGGAACTGCTGGCCACCAGAAGTCGTGAGTGCTCCATCACTGGAGGTTTTTAAGAAGAGACTGGACCAACCAACCGTTTGTCTGAAATGGTGTAGGCTCTCCTGCTTGAGCTGAGGAATTCTGGGAGTTGAAGTCCACGAGTCATAAAAGACCCCTGACATACACAAAACACACAAGCACAAGCAGGTGGCGAGATATAGAGACACCTACGATTTCTCCGAAGGAGAGCAGGGCCCAAACACAATTTCCAAGGCAGACCAAAACTTCTCCTCTTCCTTTCACCCTTCTGGGGCCCACATTTTATTTATTTATATTTATTTCTCATACTTACACGGCCGCCCATCTGACACCAAATAATTCTGGGTCAGGTGCAATAAAACTTACTATTAAAACATGCTAGAAAACATGTTTTCTCCTTTGGGAGAAAAGCCCATTTTTACAAACCCAGAATGTAATCCACCCTGGCATCCATTTGCCTCCAATCTCTCTCTCTCTCCCTCCCTTCCTTCCTTCCTTCCTTCCTTCCTTCCTTCCTTCCTTCCTTCCTTCCTTCCTTTCTCCTCTTTCTTTCCCACTTTTCTGCATCTTCTCTTGCTCCTTCTTTGCGCTATGTTTCTCCCTCCTTTCTTTTCCCTTCTCTCCTTCCTTCCTCTTCCCTTGCTCTATCTCTTCCTTCCCTCTCCTTCCCTCCTTCCTCCCCTTTTCCCCCTCTCCTCTTTCCTTCCTTTCCCTCCCTATCTTCTCTCTCTTCCCTCCCTCCCCTCCTTTCCTTCCTCCCTCCCTCCCTCCCTTCTTTTCCACTCTTTCTCCATCTCCTCTCCTCCCTCCCTCCCTTCTTTTTCCTTCTCTCTTTCCCTCCCTTTTTCCTCCCTCTCCTTCCTCTCCTCTCCCCCTCCCTCCCTCTTTCCCTCCCTCCTCTTCCTCCCTTTCAAAGACCTGTCAACAGCATGATAAATAAATCTGTAGCTCTCTGAGTTTGGTGGTTTTCTTGCAGACTTTTTTTACCCTGCGCTGATGACATTCCCTAGTTGGGTGATGAAACGTCTGCAGGAAAACCAGCCAGAGAGCACCAAGGATCCTAATAGTTCTCCCCCCACCATCCTCTGCAAACCCCCCTCCCTTCTAGCACTGATGATGTTATCAAGTTGGGTCATGAAACGTCAGCAAGAAAACCACCCAGCTCAGAGGGCACCAAAGACCCCATAGTCTTTCCTTCCTTCCTTCCTTCCTTCCTTCCTTCCTTCCTTCCTTCCTTCCTTCCTTCCTTCCTTCCTTCCTTCCTCCTCATCCTCCTCCCTTCTAGCACTGATGATGTTCCCTAGTTGGATCATGAAACGTCAGCCAGAAAACCACCCAGCTCAGAGAGCACCCAGGACCCCACAGTCTTTCCTCCTCCTCCTCCTCCTCCTCCTCCTCCCCCTCCTCCATCACCACCATCACTACTACACAACCTCATCTCCTTCTAGCACTGATGAGGTTACCTAGTTGGGTCATGAAACGTCTGCAGGAAAACCACCCAGCTCAGAGAGCACCAAGGACCCCACAATTACGCACTTTGCATTATTTGCACAATGAGATTATGCCATTTGCGACATCGTTGTGGCTTCTACTCACACAGTACAGAATTCTGGGAGTGGAAGTCCACAAGTCATAAAAGAGCCCAGGTTCCCATCCCTGCTCTCGACTAACTTCCTGAGTGTCAGCCCAGAAGACCAGCATGACCAGATCAGGGAAGCCGGCTGACTCCGTTTACACATCGGAGCAAAGGTTTCTTAAATCCTTACAAAAACTAGAATAGTATGTAGAAAGAGAGTGAAGCTAAGGAAAGAGC